GCGATTGAAGATTGTAACATCAGAGATTGATACAACACTTAACAAGGACTTACATGTGATTCCTGGTATGGGAGAATTCGGAGATCGTTATTTTGGTACTGGTAGTCGAGTTACTTCTTCCTAGCATCAACCATGTAAGCTTGGAGAGGACATAGACATATATATACTCTGTCCCTCTTTTATATGGGATAGAAATCTAGTGCTCATATAATCAAACCATAGACTGTTTTTGTAACATTTTCCTGAAAACATTATCTTAGCCATAAAGAATTCGCGCTTTGTTCCCCCTTTTGTTCTAATTAGAAAGAGCGAGGTCTTACTCTTTCAAGGGGATGAAAGACAAGTAAAAGAATCGCGAGATTTAATGATAGGAGAAGCATGAGCGTAGAGTTGTAACTGAATTTTGTTCACATTTTTCGTAATATTATTGTTGCACCTCATGTGGAAATGTGTATTAGTATATGTTTATAACTTACTTGTATCATTTCATTTATCGTGATCGATAGTTCAGTATGCATGAATAATCTAGATGGATTTGATTTGTATAACTCCTATATATATAGCTAAAATAATATTTGCACTATAATGTATGTTCTCACAATGTATTACGTGTAGTCCAAGCATTATATATGTTTGATTATATAAGCATAAGTATATATACTAGTAATTAAATATTTTTCAAATTTAAGTTTCTTTTGATGTAGTAGTAACTATCATCGTTTATAAGTTACCTATCATGTTTGCTATAAAAATAAGTTCATGTAATTAAATTTCAAAAAGTAACGTGATAGCTAGCTAGTAGTATAAACATCGCATTGAATCTTAAAATTTGAATAATTCAATACATCAAATAATTGAAAATTGTATACGTAGAATTATCAAATACTATGTTGGACAACAGAGTGAAAGTATTTGGGAAGGATCTTTTCAAATATTATTTGAAACTTTTTAATTAAAATTTCTGAATTATACTGTAATTTTATACGTATATGATTTTCAAAAAAGTAAATTTTGTTTATCTTTTGACCATCTTACTCCGCACTTTAGTTTCTTTCGGACAAAAAGCACCTTATGCTTATGAGAATTGTTAATACATTTATCTCCATAGCAAAATCAGAAGATATATATTTTTGTAGAAAATGTAATAATATTTAAATATTTATAAATAAGCAAAATGCAGACAGAAAAGGGTATATCTTCATTAGTAAATGAATTTAATACAATTTTGGTTAAACATAAAAATAATTTGAACATTCAAAACAAGTTTTTTACTCTATCCATCTCAATTTATATAACACTTTTCGCTTCTCAAACTTTAAAATTATGTGAACTATGAGGCACTAATGTCCCGTGTGTATTTCTGACCAAAAAATAGTAGACGATATCGAAGCTTATATGAAAACTTGTCATGTATGTCAAATGAACAAAAAAAACATAACGCAAATGGGTAGCAGGTTTGTTGCAGCCTCTTCCCATCCCTGAAAGACCATGGATGTCTGTTTCAATGGACTTCATTTCGGAATTTCAGGCAGTGGACGGATATGTGAAGAATAACTAACTTATAGTATTTTTCATATAGTTTGAGAATATTTGAATTTCAACTGTAAAATATTAAATGGATAAATTTAATTTTTTCTCAAAAAGTCATTCAATTTTGATTTTTAACTCAAAAATTTAAATCTATGCATTGGTTCATACGTTTTCAACATGTCCAAAAGCTAAATCGATTTGATTCTCAGATGGACACGATGAAAACTTATGGACCAGTCATGGCCGTCTCAACAAGTTTGGGGGCCTAAAGCCAAACATTATAAAGAGGCCCTATTTTTTTTAGTTGATAAATACAAATTGAATAATTATAATATAGAAGTATAATCCTACAAATGAGGTCTGGAGAGGCAGGATATATGTAGACATTATGAAGTAAGAATGCAAATAATGTAAATTTTCAATGAAAATTATATAATATAAAGTTGGAATAATAAAACTTTAAAAATAATGATGATATTAAAATAGTAGTAGCGATGAATTTGATAAGTTAATAAATAATATTAAAAATAGTGTTGATTAATTTTTAGTGCTTGAAATATGAATAAGACACCAAAAACAATTGTCTTTTTATAAACACAAAACAATAGATATCACATAATGTAGAATGTTTGAACGTTTGACAGACTTAAGAATATTCAATAATGAAAAGTAAGTATAAGAACACAATATTGTTGGTTCATGATAATCGTCAAAATATAAATGAGCTAGACAACAAAATAGATAGTCACATGCGAAATTAGAAATGATACAACAATTAACTAGCCACATGAGAATCTAGAAAAGACACTACAATCAACTAAACAATATTCATTTTCTCAATTATATTTCTATACAAAAAATTATTTTCAAAGTTATTAGTACATGAATTTTTTTTAACAATATATATATATATACACACATCTTTGAGAGAAAATGGGGCTCCAAAAAAATTGAGGCCCCAAGCAATTGCTTTAGTAGCCTTATGATTGAGACGGCCCTGACCAGTGCATGTATAGAACTTAAATTTACGATTTTTTCAAATTTATCTAACACCTTGAAATTGTTTGAAATGAACAGATCACATCGAAAAGAGATCATACATTTATGAAAGCCAAGGTCCTTGAAATGTGTTCCCCACTGCGTAAAAGTATGCAACTAATGCAAGGAGATAAAACCACACTATTACATTTTTCTTTCACCAAGAAAAGCAGTAAATGAGCTATCATACTCCCTCCGTCTCAAATTATCTGTTGATTTTTTTTTTTTACATATACGCCTTCTATAAACAATAGTATTACTTAGAAAGTGATTTTGATTATTTTGTTTTTATTTACTATTTTAAGATATAATTTTACTTCATAAATATTTACATTATTGAAATGTTTATAGTTAAGAACAATTACTACTAAGAATAAAATAGAAAATAAAACACAATCAAGACTTTTAAATAATTCAACTATTTTTAGAAATCGCGACAAATAATATAAAACAGAAAAGGACTGGATGACAATATGTACTTACGTTTTGATTAAAGTGTGTTACTTCCTTTTTTACACTGTTTTAACATGAATGATTCTTTTTTTATTTTATACTCCCTCTGGTTCATATTATAAGTGAATTATTGTGGAAAAAAATATAGTTCAAAATAAGTAAATTAATCAAAGTTCAAGAAAATTATTGAGATCTTTCATTTCATACCAACTCTTCATCTGATGAGGTTCTTAATATATTTTTGTGAAGAGACACTTAATATGAACCAGAGGGAGTAACTCAAATTCTAATATTTTTACTTAGCATGTTATAACGGCAATATCCAAAGAGTGTTTTTGTACATTATACACTTGTTTTAGTTCAAACTTCGTAATTAAACAAACTAAGACACTTAAATTGAAATCTCTAAATTAAGACACTTAAGTTGAAACCGGAGAGTACCATTTACCTCTCTTTAACTCAATGCTCATACCGAGGAAGGACGAAGAGATGCATCCTTTCTCTGTCCAAAATGATACTCCACTTGCATGAGACATTTATGAATCACAGCAGACCTCTAGCAAATTTCTCCCTATATAAACCTCATTCACCTTGAATCTTCAAACCACAGCAAAACAGAAACACAATTCATATCTATCTTCATCTCGGCCTATAACCATAATCAGTGTAAAAATGCCAACCACCATGGAAGATGTCACTGCCAAGATTGATGCAGTCGAAATTGACCCCAAGAGTGGTCTTGCTTTGAAGGAGAAGGCGATCGAAGGTGAACTTAAAGACTACAGAAACAGCACAAGAGAAGACTAATGAAGTCAAAAGTGATCCGGAGAAAGAACCCAATGGTGCAACTTTCAAAGAAGAGGAAGTTCCAGTTGAGGTTGAACCTAAAACTGGAGTCTCTTTTCCTGTCAAACTTGAAGATGGGAAGCAGTTGAAAGCTGTAGGTTTAAGGAAGAAGAGCATGCTTGGCATGGGCATCAAAATCTATGGCTTTGGTAATACACCATTAAATATATATTTATTGACTTATGTTCTAATCTATTTCTACACAAACTGATCTGATTATTTGGCTACAGGAATATATGCAGACAATGAGAAATTGAAAGACCTTATGCAATCTAAGATTGCAAAAGCACCATCAAAACCAACAAAGGAGATGTATCAAATGGTGATTGATAGTGATCTGGGAATGATGATGCGGTTGGTAATTGTTTTCTCTAACCTAACCATGAACATGGTAAGAAAGAACTTTGACGAAGGCCTCGGAGCTGCCATCAAGAAGCTTACTGGTGGAAAGAATGAGGAGCTCACAAAGAAGTACTATAACTGATTTAAATTGCTAATCATTGCTATTCAGCCATAGCTTGAATGTTTAAACTCTAATATCCTGTTGTTATATTAGGATCATGGGTGAAGCATCTGATGACATAAAGCTGAATTCTGGTTCTGTAATTGAGATTTCAAGGCTTCCAGGATATGTTCTTCAGACCAAAGGTAAAATTAGTTCTTATCAATTTCATGCCATCAATTTGCATGCCAAACTTAACTAAACTTCAACTTTATCTAAATGCAGTAAAGGGTGAGATTGTGAGCAAGGTGGAAAGTGAACTACTCTGCAGGGCCTTCATCTACATGTATTTAGGTGATGATCCATTTGACAAAGACGCCAAGGAGAAGTTCGGGGCATCCATGCTCTCTCTGTTCTAAGTAGTAGGTTTCCAGCATTTTCTAGTCTAGGTAGTTAAAGAATAAGCTGGTGACTTTGAACTGATGAATAATTGCTCAATAAAAGTATGATCACAACATGGTTGATTTTTCATTATGCAGTATTTCGTGAGTTCTATTATGCAAAACTTCAAAACTCAACCCCCAACCCCAGTCCACCCAAAAAAAAAAAAAAAAAAAAACTTATGGTATCACTCTCGCAACACTTGCAACACTAAGAAGGGATTTCCTGACTAAGGAAAGTTCATATGAAATTCAGTGAACAATTTGAAACTGCAATTAGGTGCTCATATAATAGATCCAGTAATATTAAATTTAACCCCTCCGAAACTGATAAATTTGTGGAACAGCAAAAGGTGCATATAGTATACAAAAATAAATTTGTAGAATCAGACCATGGATAAGATTAGCCATAAAGAACTTTCCTAGGGTCCAATTGTCCACTGCAATAACTTGAAGATACCGTAGAGAGCTCTTGCCGCCCCCTCCACTCCTCAGAAGGTTTTAAGATAATGGGAGTTTCAACAGCAGCAGAATCCACACACAGCATTTTCTTGTAATCTTCATCACCTAAATCTGGGAGAGACTTGGCCTTTTTGTCCCAAGGATTCCAAACAACTGCATATCACATCCATATTACAGTTAAAAATACTCGATGGAGATAGAGATAAAAAGGAATAAAAAATTAAAAGAAAAAAGGTAATCACCATACCAGCATCTGCCATTCCTTCTTTCTGAAGGACATAAGTTCTCTTCTTCTCGTGATCTATTATAGCAGTTTTTGTTGGTGTGCTAAGATATACTCTATCCGTCTAACAAAATGAAAAGGTCTAGATCAGCAAAATAATAGTGAGAAATGTACTCCTCCTCTTCTCAATGAAATTTGAAAAATTCAAACAACCAAGCATATACTAAAGTGATCTAAGAGAAGCTCCTCTGGCACCTAGTGGTCCTGAATTCAAATCAAGGCGTCTATCTTCGAGAAATATGGAGAACAAGCCTAACATAGTAATATTACCTCACTATCAAATGTAATTGCATCTGCCTGCTCTGTGTATCTTTCTCCCCGCTGCAAATTATCGAAGTAGTCAAGTGTCTCCAAGCCCTCAACCCGCACTTCACTGCAAATCAAACTGCATCACCTATCTGAAAAGGATAGTGACGTATCTAGCGAAGTTCAGCTATAATTTCTTTTTTTGAACAGTTCATGATTGAATGAGCATGATATATTGAAGCGTAGGTCTGAATTCATTGCAAGAACCCCAAAAAAGGGAAAATAATATAGGTATTAAAAGTTCCAACTTGTTACCAGAAAAATAACTAGCGAACCAACAAGGCAAACCTGATATCAGAAACAGATAAATAATTACGCAGAGAGAACGTGAATGAGAATGGCTTGTTATCTATATTCCTGACACGAGGGATCAAAGTCAGCTTGCCAGCACTGAGAGAAATACGTAGCCGCACCTCAAACCTGCCACACAAGAATAGGGTTACCATTGTACATCTTGATAAATTTGTTGACTTGGGGATAGTGCATTACTATCAGCTAATAGAATGTACGACTATGTATTCTCCCCACCTATGCGGCCAGATCTTCAGATCCTCTTCTGTGGATTTCAAAATGAGATCGACAGTTGACTGACTGTTTGCTGCAGGTAGAGGAGAAGGAGAATCATCCAATAACCACACTCTGTTTCTTGCAAAACCATGTCGCTCTAAAGAACCAAAAGTTCCAAACTGCAGTACACATTTCTAGTTAAGATGCAAAACTGAAAAGGAAAGAACCCCAAAATTGCTAGTTCAGTTTGTGGGACAACCTGTGGGAAGCTGATAGGTATTCCACCTCTGAAGGCTTTAGGAGGCTTCCACAGGATCTACGAGACAGTGCAAGAACCCATAATCAGGACAATAATTAGAGAAAAGGGCTGTAGAAGTATTGGGCAAGCAATATAAATGAATGAACAATGATCTAAAGTCAATATCTCGAGTGTGAGCTGTATGTTTAAACATACAAGCAGATCAAGTTATGTGAGAGATCTAGTAATTTTACATATTTGAAACCTGAAGAAGTTTCCTTATACCAAAGACACATTTATGTTTACACGAGCAACATGGACTGTAGTCAACATTCTATCTTTTGCTGATTTGAACTAAGCTCAACATTCCTTGAAAGATTTGACATCTCTAGATATTTAAATGGCATTTTACCCTGCATAAGAGGATAAAATTTTTTTTCTTTTTATGGACTCTACTGAAGAGCTCGTCATATTTTCTCTTAAGTCACTGGATACCTATTCAGTGATGCACACATCATAGATCAAACACTGATCAGCCATTCTAACCTGTGAATCCTAGTAGAAGGTGGCGTAAAATTGCTAAAAGAAAAGTTCTCTCATAAGACAGGTAGCCTGTTAGATGTGACTCCTATTTGATATGGTGTAGAAGTGAGCGCATGATTTAGGTACTGATCAGAAGTTGCTCATCGTACTGCACAATGCTGGAGAGGCCAGTCAATTAGTTGGTTTCAGAAGTGGTAGACCAAGTGAAGACACAAGTGACCAAAGCAATTCAATCTTTACTATACATAAGCAATTCAACATGTGTCCTTTCAGAGATTTCTCCAAGGAGGGAAAGTACTTTTCATTTAGTTCTTCAAACTCCAATTTACAGTGGTCCTCCTAACTCCTCACTCCAAACCTTTGAAATTTAGTTTTCTGGTAATTGATAAATTGATCTTAATTCAAGTTGAGAGCCCCATATCTTCAAATATGGAGTCAAAACTGAAGATGATGCAGCTGAAGGTGCAAATCCAAATGTCTAAAATTGTTAACTTCCAGAGAGGACAACTATTCATTTCATATTCACAGAAGTTCTAAGACAGACATGACTATGAATGGAACTGTTACATTGACACGTAAAATTGATAGCATTTAGTCACAAAAGCTTTGTGCCCGCATGCATGTCATACAACAAAATGCAATCCAAAGAGCAGCAGAAAACAGAATCTTCTATATTAGTATATAACGGAAGGTTTGACATTCTGTTTTCACTAAGAACATTCATCAAATGCATTGGAATGTGATAACCAGAGTTCAGAACAAGTTTAGTGAACACGTTTAGACCTTATTACTCCTGAACAGCAGTTCTTCTCTTCGTTCATTCTTCCAAGAAACAACTTGACCACCCAGAAAAAGCACCTGCAGCAGAGAATATGTACTAGAATTAGATAACATGAAAGAAAAAAGATAAAAGTCCCAATAAAACAGAACCTTTTATTATTTTCCGACTCATAAAACTCAGCATCATTGTAGTCCCACAACCAATTTGTGATATTTGACCTGGCCATAAAGCCATGTATACTTCATGCATTTGGATCTTTCCATTTAGGGGAGGATCCTCCATATGCCAATTTAAGAAGGAAGCACATCATCTCTCTAAGTTAAATGGACAGTGGAGAGCTTTTCATTGGTACAATGGAGATCCCAGGTTATTGCCACTTCATTATTTCCCCAAAAGCACTCAGAGCCAGTGAGCCAGAGAGTTTTGACTAGATAATGCCAACCCCCTAAACACTAAAGTTCACTCTCTAAACACTAAAATTCAAAACAAGACCATATATAAGAAAGACTAAACCATTAGCAAGACAACAAAAAAATCAAGAGTAACCAGAAAGGCCCAAGGTATAATCAATCATTGAGATAAAAATTAATAGGAATGAAAACAAGAAAAGCTAAGGAAAATATTTCCTATCTGATCTGTTACCTTCTGTTAACTATTTAAGCTTCTCATAAGCAAGCACCGTGCATTTACAGAATCTCTTCAATGGAAGGAGTCCACCTCTTAAATTAACTACCCTATTTATTAGTAATATTCTAATCAAGAGGTTGCTCACCATCCAAGCTAGGAGTATGTAGTTTTTGGGAACTACTGGATAAATTGTTGGAGATGGGAAAAATAAAGCCATAATTCAGCAATGAGGTCATATTTAGTTTTGAAAGACAGCATTCCACATACCAAAATAAAACTAATGAACAAACTACAAATGAAAATAAAATAAAAAATGCAAATGCAGGGATGAAGTTCAGAAGTCACTAAGATCAAATTTAGGATTACTGAGTTATGGGGAAACAAAAACACTTTCACCAACAGGCTTCAGCTAAAGGTAAAGAGATATTAAACCAAATATCTTCAATAAAAAGAAATGTGATAAACCGTGGTATCTAGACCAGCTTGCCACCGGATACCTGCTACCTGCAACAGTTACCAGATAACTATATCCACCAAATCTATCTGAAGAAATCATCTAATGTTTTTGTCCCTGCTGGGATGATCAGTATTCAGTGAATTATTCTAGCATTCTCGTCAAGCTTTAGAAATGTACAAATCCGTGAATCTCAGGAACTAAAAAAAAGAGCATGTACAGAACCGAAAAACGGAACTTAAATCATAATTACGCAGCACAAACAGTCATAATTTTGGAAGAACACAGTTAAAACCCTTCATAAACTAAACACAAAACAAAATATATCACAATTATCAACACAAAATAGTCATAATTATGCAAAAATACTACGAAAAAAACTGGAAAATGAAATTAAAAATTTCAAAAACCTCTGCAGTTGATCCAGTATGCTCCTTCAATACGATTCGCGAAGCCGATCCATCGCCGTCGTGAATTACGTTCCACGACATAATTATAACTTTTTCACTGCAATTTCGTTCTTCGATACTGATCAAAATCTACAATAACAAGCAGTTTACCATAATCAAACACGTAGAACATAAAATCAGAAAACGACAAAAAAAAAACCAAAAAAATGAGAAAAATAAACCTGCAAACGCAAAGAGCTACACGATAAGCACAGAAATACATTAATATTATGAACAAATGGCTGAAACTGAACCGCTAAAACAGAAAGGACGAACTATAATATATGAAATCAAATACAATAAACTCACTTTTTTTTTAAAGCGATTGATGAGTGTTGATTAATGTGTAGAAAGAGGCCACCAACTTCTACTTCATGACAAATCCATGTCGTACATTTAGCGTTTTCTGTACGACTTTCTATCCTTTTTTTATATAATAATATATAATATTAAAAATAGTATTTTAAAAAATAGATAGAAAGAGAAATTGTTGGAGAGGATGGGGGCGGTGGATGTGGACGCGTAATGGGCGACGGGAGGGACCAAAGAAAATTCTGATTCCTTGTGAAACGTTTTCGTAATTTGATTTGGCATAAAGTTTTTTAAAAAAAAATTGTGATCTAAAATAAAAAGTAAATGTTTGTGGACTATATATTATTTTATCAAATGTGAAATAAAGTATTTTAAAATTAAATTATTGTTAAGTACAAAAATGCGCAACTTTTTTTATACGAACTAAAAAGAAAATGATTATATAAATTAAGACATAAGATAGAAATTAAAGAACAATGAATTTAATATTCGATATATAGTTTATTATGGTGGAGGAAATATCTAGAAAGGGAATTATTAGTATGATTAATAGTATTATGTTTATTTGATAACTTTTTAGTTATTTTGTATAAATTCATACTAAATATTTTTCAAATCTCAGTTTGAAGAAACTTGAGAAGTATGTTTGCATCAATTTTGAACAAAAAATTCACAGCGTCAAATGAGAAGACATAGTTATCTTTTCAATCCATTCAATCGCACAATGTGAAACATTGAAGAAACTATGTATAAATTTTAAAAAAAATACTTTTATCTCAAAAATTAACATTAAAACCATTGAAATCTAATAAATAAATTTAAAAAATTAAATTATTTCTAATACGTCAAAAATATTCTTAATCATTTTCCATTACAAATAGGGTTGTTTGTGGTTATGGTTAAAAAATCAAATCAAACCGTAACCCGAACCAAACCGATTAAAAAAATGATATATGATTTGTTTTGGTTAGATTTGGCTTTAAACTTTGAAAACTGATACTATTTGGTTTGGGTTTGGTTTTACTAAAAAACAACAACAAAAATAACCAAGCCGAATCAATAAATTAGATATATAAATTTTATAATTATTTTTATTGATAAATAAAATATAAATATTTTGTTAAATTTTAATTAACTTAAGTCTTTTAACTTTACCATTTTATCAAGCTCAATATTTAAATTCTAGCCCAATTATTACAATATTAAGTCCAAGTCCATCAAAATTCATTATTTTACTCTTTACCTACCCTACCTCACATAAGATAGTCACATTTTCTCTTAATTGAATCATCTTTTTTCGTGTAATGATAACTCTAGTATTGCATAATTGCTTAATTGAACCAACAATAGTTTTTTTGTGTATTGTTAATGTACTAGGTGTTTGTGTCTATCGAGATACGTATTTCCTCAAACTGAAAAAACCAGTAAAATTGAACCAAACCGATGGTTATTTTTTCGTTTGGTTTGGTTTTAGAAATTTAAAAAATCGACTAAATTGATTTAATTTTGATTTTAACCAAAAACCGATCCAAACCGAACTACAAACCCCCCCCCCCGTTACAAATATATAGATTGATAATTTATATTTCAAAAATAACATATATATTTCATCTTAGACCAATATTATAACATAATACTCCTCCGTCTCTTTTAGTTGTCATGTTGAGCATTTCGAAAGTTAATTTGACTAATTTTTTAAGTTAAATTAAATTATATTAATTCGATATTTTAAACTAAATATTTAGATATTCAAAAACTATATAAAAAGTACTATAAATTGTAACTTTTTGAATATTAATACAATAAAAAAATATATCATAAAATATTAATTGAAATTTTTATTGTTTGATTCTAACAAAAGAAATCATGATAACTAAAAGAAAATAAAAGGTAGCAAGTATATAAGCAGAGGTTAATTGTACTCTGACAACTTTACGTAAGGCAGAGTTTGGGTTTTTTACTATAGATTGATTTACAAGATGAACATCAAACATTTATCCTTATCATTAACTTGAAAAATAACAAAATAATAAATTTGAAACTTCCAACTCATGGCAAATGCCAATCATGATTTTATAACCAATAATTGAAGGAGCACATTTAGAAATTGAATAAAACCCTACACCTCATGCATGCCTTGGTGTAATCTATATATGACTCACATTAAACAAAGAAAATAATTAAAAAAATAAAAAAAATATAAAAAAAAATATATATATATATATAATATAATATAATATATGTGTCGCGTCAAATCAAAATACCAGTAGACTATGTTAAAAAACACCAAGTTTGTGTCACGTCATACCAAATCATATAAAGCAAGAGACCGTAAACTCTTATCTTTTCAATTTTTGATTTTTGATTTTTCGCTCGATGATCGATATCTATTTTGAGGTAGAATTATTTGAAGTCATCCTATAAAATAAAGTACTCCATACTATACTATTACCGACTTAATTTTCAAGGTTCAACTCTAGAAGAGAAAAGTATTGAAAAACACTTTTAAATTAGGCGTGAATTATTAGTTTCATCATCGAATTATTGACAACAGTAAAAACACTTCTATACTTGACTAACTGAACTTAAATACACCTTTGATCTGCAATATGAGTGAAATACACCTCTAAAATCTCGTCACTTTTAGGAGTGTTTTCAACACTTCTCTCGACTTTTTATTAAGATCATCATGCTCCTACAAGAGTTTGAAACCACTTGTTATGTCATGTGACAGATCGTGGTGTATCTAAATTTAGTTAGTCAAGCAGATAGTGTTTTTAAGGTTTTCAATAGTTCGGAGACGAAACTAATAATTTGCACCAAGATTAAGGATGTTTTTAAGGCGTTCAATAATTCAAAGACTAATAACTTGCACCAAAATTAAAGATATTTTAAATAATCGATCAATTTAAAACCTTTAAAAGATGGTTGTGTATATATTACCACTTCATCGCAACCTTTAATACTAATATTAAATGTAAATGCACCAGCAATCCAGCATCATGTATGATTGAAAATTTTGGTTTCGTGTTATTATTAACTTGTTTGTACGTAATTTATAATCAAATGTCATTAATATGGTAAACATGTTTAAGGACGTGATATTACTTATTAGGATTGTTTTCTAATTTGTTCCTTAAAGAAGGATAAGGAGAATTCTAGTTTTTAGTTATTACTAGAATTTAATCACTTTTCATCAAATTAAATTAAACAAGACAGGTTCTAACTCTCAAAAAAGAAGATTTAATCCAATAGAAACAAACTACAAGAAAAATATGAAAATAATTAGAGAATTTGTCGACAATCTCCAGCTAATTTATTGCTAAAATGCTCCTAGCTAGTTGAATTTTCTTATAATTTATCACTAATCAGTAACTAAATGAGATTAATATAAAAATTTATTATTTAACTATGAAATTTTATCCTTTAATAATTTCTCGTTTTCTAGTAGTAACAATATATGCATTAGAGTAATTTGCAGGAAAATATCATTTTCCTTAGAAAGAAGTTTCAAAAACACCCCTAAACTTGACGCAAATTATAAGTTTCATCCTCGGACTATTGACAGCCTTGAAAATATCCTTCTACTTGACTAATTAAACTTAAATACACCCCTGATATACTCCAGATACACTTTCGATATGCAACAGGACATAGCAAGTGATCTCAAACTCTTGTAGGATCATGGAGTTCTTAATAAAAATCGAGAGAATTGTTGAAAACATCCCTAAATTGATGAGAATTTAAGGATGTATTTCACTAATATTGCAAAATTGGGGGTGTAATTAACTTCAATTAGTTAAATAAATAAGTGTTTTTAAGACTGTCAATAATTAAAAAATGAAACTAATAATGCGCCAAATTTACAAGTGTTTCTGATACTTCTCTCTTTTCCTTTATTTATAAACGTTTCTCATAGGATTCTCTGAACTAGTAATTGTCTGTGTCATTTTCAAGTCGACATTTGTACTAAATGGTTCTGCTATAGACAGCCATTTCTTAAGCTCCCTCAACCTATCATGAATTCGAATTGAGACTTCAATAATTGTCCGTTTGGCCATGCGATATAAAATCGTGAGAGTAATTTTTGGATAGTCACTCATGTTTGGGAAATTACCTAGGAATATCACTTATGTTTGTTTTAGGACCACAATATCATCCAACTTTACCTGTTTTCCGCAAAATATACTTGACACAAAAAAATATTATCTCTCTCCTAATAGGATATCATGTCACATTATTCCTTTTTTATTCTTAACATTTTTTTAATTCCTTTTTTATTATTAACACTTTTTGAAAATTCTTTAAAAACATTATATCCTTTGTAGTTTGACAATATGGTTACCTTATTACTCTAATGAATTAAAATATCAACAAAAAGGGAGTCCGAAGCTAAAAGGGTCATTTTTTTCCTTCAAAAAACAAAAAGGGCACATAAAAAAATTTTTAACCAAAAGGGCAAAATCCCTACTGACGGATCGATTTTCTTCTGATAAAAATTGACGTCGTTCCGTAAAAAGAAATAAAAACCGCTGCATTTGGAAGCGATTTTTTCAAAAAAAAAATATTTTTATTTCTTTAAAATCGCTGCTTTAGCAGCGTTATTATAAAATTAAAAAAAAATAAAAGTGAAATTGCTGCTATAGCAGCGATTTTTTGTTAAGGAATTAAAAAAAACATAAAGAACAAGTTTTAAATTACATAAATTTCCGGCAGCAGCCATTTAAAAAAAAAACAAGTTTTTTAAAGAAAAAATCGATGCCGAAGCAGCGATTTTCAGTTTTATTTCTTTTTTTTAATTTTCATTTAAATCTCTGAAAGGGTAAAGATTTTTTTAAAAAAAGCTTTTTATGAAAATCGTTGGCTTCAATTTTATTTATTTTTTAATTTTTATTAAATTCTCTGCAAGGGTAGGATTTTATTTTTTTTTAAATAATTTCCTAAACAAAATCGCTGCTATAGCATCAATTTTAAAGAAAAAATAT